GTTAAAATGTCACAAAGGTGATACTTTTACAGGGAAGCTTATTCTGTTTTAAACACTGAAAAGCTGTTGTAGTCTGATCAGTTAATTTGTATGTAGCAATTGTATGTAAACAATTATCAGTCTATGGTTTAAAATATAATGCTTTGTTACAGACCCAACCTGTCCATTTCTCTGAGGGGTTGAATAAAGTATTCCCTGACTGAAATGGAAAAAATACATACATACATACCAGATGTCTTCACAGGTGAATTTTACCAAACATTCAAAAAAGAACTAATACCTATCCTTCTCAAACTATTAAAAAATCCAAGAGGAGGGAAAGCTCCCAAACTCATTTTATGCAAGGAGCATTACCCTGATACCCAAACCAGACATGACAAAAGAAGAAAATTATAGGCCGATATTTCTGATTAACATAGTTGCAAATATCCTCAATGGATTATCAGCAAACCATATCCAGCAATACATTAAAGGATCATACACCACGATCAAGCGGAATTTATTCCTGGGATGCAAGACAGGTTCAATATCCACAAATCAATTAACATGATACACCACATAAACAAAATGATGGATAAAAATATGATAATGTCAATAGCTCCAGAAAAAGCATTTAAATAAACCCAACATCTATTTATGATCAAAACTCTCAGTGAAGTGTGTACAGAAGGCACATATCTCAACATAATAAAAATGGTATTACAAAACCTCAGCTAACATCACATTCAACATTAAAAAGCTAAAAGCTTTTTCTTTAAGATCAGGAAGAAGACATGGATGTCCACATTCACCACTTTTATTCAATAAAGTATTAAAAGTCCTAGCTACAGCAATCAGACAAAAAGAAATAAAAGGTATCCAAACTGGAAAGAAATAAAACTGTCACTGTTTACTGATGACAAGACACTATTTTGAGAGAACCATAAAGATTCCACCTAAAGACTATTAAAACTAATGAATGAATTCAGTAAAGTAGCAGAATACAAAGTTAATATTCAGAAATCAGTTTCATTTTTATACAGCAATAATAAATTATCAGAAAAAGAAATTAAGAAAACAATCCCATTTACAATTACGTATCAAGAAGAATAAAATATTTAGGAATAAATTTAACAAAGCAGGTAAAAGATTTGTATTGAAAAACTATTAGACATTGAAGGCATTTAAGTAGATACAAATAAATATATACCATGCTCATAGATAGGAAAAATTAACATCATTAAAATTTCCATAACTTCCCAAACCAATGTACAGATTCAATGCAATCCATTTCAAAATACAAATGACCATTCTCACAGAACTAGAACAAATAATCCCAAAATTTACATAAAACCACAAAAGACCCCAAATAGCCACAGTTATACTAAGAAAGAAGAACAAAGTGAGGTATCACATTACCTGATATCAAACTATACAAGGCTACCATTATCAAACATTATGTTACTAGTATAAATACAAACACATAGATCAATGGAATAAAATCAAAAGCCCAGAAATAAAACCCACGCATGTATGGTAAATTAATACATGACAAAGGAGGCAAGAACATACAATGGGATAAAAAGAGAGTATGTTCAATAAATGGTTTTGAAAAAACTGGACACACACATGCAAAACAAATGAAACTAAATCACTTTCTTACATCGTATACATAAATAAACTCAAAATGGTTTAAAGAGTTAAATGTAAGACCTGAAACCAAAAGTCCTACTAACATAGGCAGTAAACTCTCTGACTTCACTGTCAGCAATACATTTTTAGAGATGTCTCCCAGGCAAGGGAAATAAAAGAAAAAATAAACAAATGGGATTATCAAACTAAATTTTTAAACAACTAAAAACCTTCAATACCACAACAGACAACCTACATAAATAAAAGATATTCACCAATGACATATTCAGTAGGGGTTAATACACAAAATATATAAGAAACTTACACCCCCCCAAACAATCCAATTTAAAAAATGGGCAGAGGACCTGAATAGTCCTCCAAAGACAGAATACATATGGCCAATATGAAAAGATGCTCAACATCACTAGTCATCAAAGTGTACATTAAAATGACAATGAGATATCTCCTCACATTTGTCAAAATGGGCTGTCATCAATAAATCAATAAACAACAAGTGTTGGCAAGGATGTGGAGAAAAGGGAACCTTTGTGCACTGTTGGTGAGATTGTAAACTGGTACAGAGACCAGAGAAAACAGTATGGAGGTTCCTCAAAAAATTTAAAAGTCAGAGGGAAAGACAAACACCATATGATTTCACTTATATGTGGAATCTAAAAACCAAAACAAACTCATAGATACAGAGAAGAAACTCATGGTTGCCAGATGAGAAGTTGTTTGGGGGGTGTGTGTGTGAAAAAGGTGAAAAATAGTCACCAGGATAAAGTATAATGTTGGCAAGATAGTCAATAATAATGGGATAACTATGTATGGTGCCAGGTGGGTATATAAATATCTAATCACTTTAGTGTACACCTTAAACTAACATAATATTGTTTGTCAACAGCAATTGAAAAATAAATTTTTTTAAAAAGAATCACACACACACACAAGAGAACACTCCCATTTTTTCTCCCCAATAAACCACAGTTGCTTTTACATTTCCTAAATTTATTTTAGGATATGAGATTTATAACACATATGAAAACCTTTTCAGAGAATCTCAGCACCTTTCAACTAGTAAAACCTATTCCTCTTTGAATGAGATTTGACAATCTGTTAAACAAACCACACTGAAAAACCACTTGCTTTGGATGTGCTATTTCAAAACCACTGATCCATATTTCAGATGAGGAAGGCTCACATTAAAGTGTGTTGCTTGCCCTGGCCGCTTTGGCTCAGTGGTTACAGCGTCAGCCTGTGGACCAGAGAGGCCCAGGTTCGGTTACCGCTAAGGGCACATATGTCAGTTGCAGTTTGTTCCCAGGGCCCCGGATGGGGTCGTGTGGGTGGCAACCAGTCGATGTGTCTCTCTCACATCAATGTCTCTCATTCTCTCTCTCTTCCCCCCTCTCTCCTTCCTGCTGAAAAAATAAATAAATAAAGTGTGTTGCTTTCCCAAAACATCCACTGTGTAAATACCTTCTACCTAAAGACAGCTAGAGTAGGAATGTGAAGCCTTGAGTTTGCCTTCCAAACTTACTTGTTACTAGGCCTTGGGCAGGACACTCGGCCTCATAGGCCTCAGCCTTTTCCTTCTTGCCAAGATAGACAATTGGTAAAAACAGCTTCCCTCACCAGAATTAAATGTCCAGAACAGCAGAGATTTTTTTTTATTTTTTTACTATTTATTCTCTGCTGTATATCCAGTGTCTAGAATAGCACATGGTAGAGGCTCAACAAATGTTTGTGTTATATAACAAATGTCCTTTGAATAAAGCCTGACCTCAGAGTTGCAATGATTAACAAATGGGATTAAAAGTAGTTTGCAAATTAAAAGGCATCATAAAGCATAAAGAATTATTTTTATTAGTGATGTACCTCAAATAAAGTTTGCCTTTTTTGCCCTAGCCAGTTTGGCTCAGCAGTTAGAGCGCTGGCCCTGTGGTAGGCAACCAATGGATGTGTGTTTCACTTCCACGTTCTTCTCTTTTTCTCCCTCCTTTCTACTCTAAAAATCAATGGAAAAAATATCCTCAAGTGAGGATTAACAAAACAAACAAACAAAAATTTACCTTTTGTTGTACCTGTATTAAAGAACATTAGAACTGTAAAACCTAAATGGAATCATCCTCCATGCCTCTGTGAAGCAGGCACTTGGCTCTTCTTTTCAGCAGAACCATTTTCTTATGGTTGACAACATCTCTGAGTGCCCTGAACTCTTACAACTCAATAAAGCAGGCACTAGAACTAGGCCCAGTTTAAACACGGGGAGTGAAGCTTGGAGATGAACCAGGTGACTGGAGGCTGAATGGTCTCTAAGCAGCAGACATGACCCAGTGTCAGCCTGACTTCAGCACAGACAGTTGCACATACAGCAGGCTGCACAGCCTGATCTCCAACCCCACAAAAAATGACTTCACACCCCACCCAATTCTGCATTACAGTTAGTGGAATTGACAAAACACCCAGATTTCTAAAAATGTCTATTGTAAATATGCCTTGTTTGGAAAACAATTTCTCTCAAGTGCCTATGAAAGACCACATGACTTTGATTCAGCATTTCCCATTGGGGAATTTATCCAAGGAAAGAAAGAAAAAGCTATATGCTCAAAATGCCCACTACAAGATTTTTGAGAAGGAATGCGGGACACAGGGAAAGGTTCCATTTTAGGGTAATTAAGGAAAACTAAATATACAATCAATTTTTTTTTTTAATATCCAGGACTATGCAAAAGAGATTCTAAAAGAATAAGAGTAGAATTTTTTTAAAATGTGGATGTAAGGATCCAGGGCAGGGCAGGACAAGAAGGGTACGATTTAGTGGGTTCATGATGCAAGTGAATTATTTTTATTTGTGCATTTAAAAATTTTAAACATCAGAAATCACACTTCATCACCCCCAGATTCCCATTTCATATCTCCTTTTTCCTTACAAATGCTACACACCCAAACTGCACAAACATGAACAGTCTTTATCATCTACGTTGCATATTGGGGGGCACGTTTTAAAGTGCCTATCAGCCACTGGGCAAGTTCTATGAGGAAGAAAAATACCGTTTGGGGCAGAGAAATGTCGGACTAGCGGCCACATGGACATCCGGGCTGTCAGCCTGGGGGTCGCTGACGGCCGGGCTCCAGGGCTGTGTTCTGAGCGGCCCAGCTGCAGGGCCCATAACTAGGGCTCTGCACCCTCTCCCTCCGGCGCCAGGACAGGGGACCCCAGGGCTCGCGCCACACCCGGCCCTGGGCCCAGACTCCAGAGGAGGGAGGAGGGGCGGCGGGGGCGCGAGGTACGGCTCTCCCAGGTGCGCCCACCCAGCTTCCCGCTCGTGGCGCCGGTGCCCCGCAAACGCCCACACCGCCACTCGTCTTGGCCCCGCCCCGCCTACCTGGCCCTGACCCCAAGCCCAGGCCTAGGCGCAGCCTCGGCTGCCGAAGGAAGAAAGGACTGGGTCTCCAAGCGATGTCTCTAAGAGCAAAATGGCGACTTCTTGCGCAAGAATGGCGTCGGCGCCAACAACGAGGCCTGGGGGCGGGGCCGCCGACGGAGCAGGGGGCGGGGCCAGGAGCTGCTTCTGCGGAAGCACCTGGCTGAGGGTGGTGGGCGTGGCCGACCCAGAGAGGTGCGGCTCCATCCAGCTGGAGACTGGAGAGGTGGGTGGGCCTAGCTTCCGGGCCCCAAGAATGCTGGTAGCCCTGGTCAGCTGTGAAGGCAGGAGGTGAGTTTCCAGGAATGTGAGTGTGTACTGAGTATGTGTAGATGACAGATGTCTGGGGTCAAGTTACTGGCCTGTAACCTTGGGAAAAGTCACTTCACCTCTCTGAGCCTCAATTTCCTCATCAGAAAAATAGAGGTGATAGTACCACTCATCTCAAAGGGTTGTGAAGATTAAGTGAATAACATCTGCAAAGTTTTAGCAGTTCCTATCATGCAGTAAATGCTCAGTTATTAGTGTTTGCCTTGTTGCCCTGCTTTTATTATAAAGGAATTGTGTTTGGGTATCCATTGACTGAATTCTTTAAAATTAAGTCTGTTTACCCTTTATTATATTTATAACATGATAATAGCAAGCCCATATGTAACACAATGTATCAGGCCAGGTTCTCATAAGTGCATATCATCTATTAACCATAATGAGTGTGAGGTAGGTATTATCTCCATTTCAGTAGTTGTGGGAATTGAGACACTGACATTAAATAACTTGCCTAGTGACAAAGTAGACTTGAACTTCTTTTTATTTTTCAAAAATATTCTTTTTATTGATGTTACAGAGAGAGAAAGGGAGAGGGAGATATAGTAACAGAATGAAAGAGAACATCAATTGGCCGCCTCCTGCATGCCCCCCACTAGAGATCAGGCCTTCAACCTGGGCATGTGCCCTGACCTGGAATCAAACCAGCAACCTCTTGGTGCATGGGTCGATGCTCAACCACTGAGCGACACCGGCTCAGTGGTTGCACCACTGCCTTCACCAACTTCTGCACTAAGCTAACCCCTGTACTGCACAGCATTTCCAATTTGCTCTTGGATTTTTTCACAAGAGTGAGGCATAAAATAATTTGTCTGTAGTTGCACAGCTAGCTAGACTACTCCAACCTCTTATTTTACAGTATGGAAATACAAACATCTCAATTTTTGAATTATAATATCAATGATACATCATGAAATGGAGTTGTTTGAGACATTTCTTTTGCCAAACAACTTTACAAGGACACACCTCTGCAAAAAGCAAAGCCCAGGAGCCCACTGATATATTCACTTGACAATACTGAATCTTCTCCCAGTGGATATTTGTTGAGTATACTTCACTTCCTCAGCACTTTGATCCAACTCTGGACCCACCCCACCTTCCTGCTTTTACAGGCCTTGGCTGCCTCTTTCCCCACATGTTGACTTGTAACTGGCTAACAAACCAGGGGAGCTCATTCTTCTCAGCTCACGGATTCTCTCTGAGGATAGGCTGCTGAGCCAATGAAGCACGAGATACACTATCTCCTGCTAGAGGCTTCCTCTCCTATGTCTGCTTCAGGAATACCCGGCGGGGGACTCCAGAGAGATACTGATAGAGGAAGGGAGAGCAGGGAATATAACCATCCCCACTGAGTTTGAGCTGAATCTGAAGTCAGTAGACACCGAGACTTTTCAATTATGGGGAGCCAAAAAAAGTCCTCTCCTCCACCCTAGTCTGGATTGGGTTTCTAGCATTTACAGAGAGGCCTGCATGTTCTCTCCCTTGTTACTTCTCGTTCTTTCTCCCCAGTTTGGTCCTCCATCCCTGAACTACAGTGCTTTTGTACATGCTGTTCACGCCTCCAGGAATGCACTGCCTCCTACAGTATTCTCCCCAGTTATCTCCTACTTAAACTACATTTCAGCCAAGTTTTCAGTTTCAAGCCTTTTCCAAACCACTCCTCCCTGCCTGTCCCCCTAAAAACTTTTTCATATGCTTTTTCTTCATTAAGTTTATTATGATTGCTAATTATGTATTTATTTGGATGATTATTTTATAAATATCCCCATAGGCTGTAAGTCCCTGCATGCAAGCCCTTTTTCTGTTCCGATCACTGTTTCCCCAGTACCCAGTATAGTGCTTGGTCCTGGGGAAATAAGAAATGTCTGTAAAATGGGTGACCTCAGAGTTACCCACCTTGGTGAAAAGAAGGTGAGCAGTAGCACAGAATTGTTCAGGCATACCTCGTTTTTGTGTGTGATTTTTTGTGTATGTTTTATTCCAATAGATTTTTCAGAGAGAGAGGAAGGGAGAGGAGGAGAGAGAGAAAGAGAGAAACATCAATGTGAGAGACTTTCAAGCCTTATTATTTAAGAAATGCATTTTGTAAGGCCAGAGCTGCCATAGACAGTGATTCCCCTGATGGATCTGGACTGAAAAACTGTGGCAAGGATTCATCATTCTAGGTGCCATTAAAAAGCATTCCTGAGGCATGGGAAGAGCTCAAAATATCAACATTAACAGGAGTTTGGAAGAAGGTGATTCCAGCCCTCATGGATGACTTTGAGGGGTTCAAGACTTCAGTGGAGGAAATAACAGCAGTGGAGGAAATAGTAAGAGAACTAGCATTATAAGTGGAGCCTGAAGATGTGACTGAATTGCTGCAATATCATGACACAACTTTAACAGATGAGGAATTGCTTCTTGTGGATGGGCAAAGAAAGTGGTTTCTTGAGATGGAATGTACTCCTAGTGAAGATGTGAAAAATTTTGAAATGACAACAAAGGATTTAGAATATAATGTAAACTTAGTTGATATAGCAGTGGCAGACTTCGGGAGAATTGACTTCAATTTTGAAAGAAGCTCTCTGGGAGTAAAATTGCATGCTACTAACAAATAATCCATGAAAGAAAGAGTCAATCAATGAAACAAACTTCATTATTGTCTTATTTTAAGATTTTGCCATCACTCCAGCCTTCAACACATATCACTGTGATCAGTCAGCAGCCATCAACACCAAGGCAAGACCCTCTGCCAGCAAAAATAACAAAAAGATTGCTGAAGGCTTAGATAACGGATAGCAGTTTTTTTTTAGCAATAACATATTTTGTTAATTATGGCATGTACATTATTTTAAATTAGTTTATTTATTTTTGTTACAGATGTTTCTCCTTTTCCCCCCACTGATTCCCTCCTCCTCCTCCGTCCCTGCCCTGTCCCCAGCTTTGTTGTCCATGTCCATTGTTCATGCATACATGCATATAAATTCTGTGGTTTATCTCTCCCACCCACCACCCCCTCTTCTGGGGATTGTCAGTCTGTATCCCACTTCCACGTCTTTGGAACTACCCCATTCCTCAGACTGTTATGTTCACTATATTCCACAAATAAGTGAGATCATATGAAACTTGTCTTTCTCTGTTTGGATAGTTTCGCTTAGGATAATATTTTCCAGGTCCCTCCATGACATCTCAAAGGATAAGAGATCTTTCTTTCTTACAGCTGCATAGTACTCCATGTGTATATGTACCACGGCTTTTTCATCCATTCGTCTACTGATGGACATTTAGTCTGTTTCCAGATCTTAGCTATTGTAAATAGTGCTGTTACGAACATGGGGGTACATATATTCTTTCTGATTGGTGTTTCAGGCTTCTTAGGGTATATTACTAGAAGCGGGATCACTGGGTCAAATGGCAGTTCAATTTCTAATTTTTTGAGCTAACACCATAGTGTTTTCCATAGTGGCTGCACCAGTCTGCATTCCCACCAGCAGTGTACTGAAGTCCCCTTTTCTCCACACCCTTGCCAACACTTGTTTGATGATTTGTTGATGGCGGCCATTCTGACAGGTGTGAGGTGATACTTCATTGTTGTTTTAATTTGCATCTCTCTGATGATTAGTGATGTTGAACATTTCTTCATATGTCTCTTGGCCATTTGTATGTCCTGTTTAAAGAGGTGTTTATTCAACTCCTCTGCCCATTTTTTAATTGGGTTCTTTGTCTTCCTTTTGTTGAGTTGTATGAGCAATCTATATATTTTGGAAATTAACCCCTTATCTGATATATCATTGGCAACGATGCTCTCCAATACAATGGGTTGCCTTTCCATTTTAATGTTTTTTTCTTTTGCTGTGCAGAAGCTTTTTAGTTTGATGTAGTCCCATGTGTTCATTTTTTTTCTTTGTTTCTGTTGCCTTAGGTGATGTATCAGTGAAAATTCTGCTATGTATGATTTCCGAAATTTTGTTGCCTACATTTTCTTCTAGAATTTTTATGGATTCACGGGTCACATTTAAGTTTTTTATCCATTTTGAGTTTATTTTTGTGTATGGTGTCAGTTGATGGTCTAGTTTTATTTTTTTTGCATGTAGCTGTCCAATTTTCCCAACACCATTTATTTATTTTTTTAATTTATTTTTATTGATTAATTTTTGTTACAGATGATTCTCCTTTTTTCCCCCACTGATTCCCCCCTTCTCCTCCCCTCCCTGCCCCTTCCCCAGATTGTTGTCCATGTCCACTGTTCATGCATACATGCGTATAAGTTCTGTGGTTCATCCCTCCCCCACCTCCCCACTCCTTAGGGGATTGTCAGTCTGTACCCCGCTTCTGCGTCTCTGGGACTACCCCGTTCCTCAAACTGTTATGTTCATTATATTCCACAAATAAGTGAGATCATATGAAATTTGTCTTTCTCTGTTTGGCTTGTTTCACTTAGGATGATACTTTCCAGGTCCCTCCATGTAGTCTCAAAGGATAAGAGATCTTTCTTTCTTACCGCTGCGTAGTACTCCATTGTGTATATGTACCACAGCTTTTTGATCCATTCGTCTACTGATGGGCACTTGGGCTATTTCCAGATCTTAGCAATTGTAAATAGTGCTGCTACAAACATGGGGGTACATATATTCTTTCTGATTGGTGTTTTATGCTTCTTAGGGTATATTCCTAGAAGTGGGATCACTGGGTCAAATGGAAGATCAATTTTTAATGTTTTGAGGTGACACCATATTGTTTTCCATAGTGGCTGCACCAGTCTGCATTCCCACCAGCAGTGTAC